TTTTTTTTTTTTTTCTTCAGCAGGAGCAGGGGGCAGGGAGGATGAATTTATATTGAATCATCTTTGTCCTTTCCCTTAGTCCCCCTCATGAAGAAATTAGACTAGTAATTTAGGAACTCATTGTCTCGCCATGAAATAGCAGCACCTGATCTTCTCAACTCACTGTGTATTAGAATCACCTGGTGAGCTTTTAAAAAAATTGCAGATGGCCCTGGCTCCATTGCTAGAATTCCTAACTCAGTTAGTTCAGGAAATGGCATGGGCCTTGGTATTTTTATTTATTTATTTTAAAATAGTTTATTGATTTTTAGAGAGAGAGGAAGGGAGAGAAACATCAATGTGAGAAGGCAACATAGACGGCTGCCTCTTGTATGCTCCCCACCAGGGATTGAGCCAGCAACCTAGGCACATGCCCTGACCAGAAATTGAACCCGCATCCCTTTGATGCACAGGCTGATGCCCAACCAACTGAGCCACACTGGCCAGGGCTGGGCATTGGTATATTTAAAAAACTCTAGGTAATTCTTATGTGTAGCCAGGGTTGAGTCTAAGCCACAAGTTAATCAACCATAAAACAGGATGAGGGAAGGAGTAGAATTGGGGAACAGGAAGGTAGTCTGCTGGGTCAGAGTAGTTGGTACAGTGTTATTTAGCATAGACTTTTACTGAGTGGAGCTATTTTGTCATCATTTATGTCACAGAACATCATGGATTGCCAAAGGAAAAATAATATTACCTTCTTGGAAATTTAAAAAACTGAAGATATCATACAATATGATTTCTCTCTAGTCTCAATTCAAAAGTATAAGACAATCCAATAATAACCACCCAAACACTGGCAGTTACAGCTGTAAGCATTTTCTCTCAGACGGTCCCTTGTCCAAGTCCCTGTGGCCATAGTCATATTGATTTTACCCCTTTGTCATACCACCCATGGCATTGTACATGCATTGAATTTTAGAAAGCAGAGTAAACATGAGAGGAAAATTTTTATTGCATTCTATAAACACAGGTCAGTACTTCTCAAGCTTCTTACTGCTTGTGTGTTATTTGCTGTAGTTCCAGTAGGATTTGAAAGTGAGAAGATATTTCAAGTGCCTGCCATGAGAAAAGAAACCAGACCATCTTCAGCTCACCCAGCCATGTTCCAAGAGCCAGTTGAGCCAGTCTGGTTCTCCATGGCCAAGAAGAAAGCCAAAGCATGGAGCCACATAACAGAAACCATGCAATAAATAGTTCCTGGGTGGAGCATCAGCATTTCAAATGATAGTTGCCAAGAGTTGCATTAATGCCATATAGTGATTTATTTACTATAATCATTTTTAGTAAGCAAAAAAGCCTTAAAATGGGAATTAAAGCTAATAATTGTGTGAGTGAAACAAATGCCAGGAATGCCTAATGTTTAGTACAGTCACTGCCAGCATCTGAAAACCCAGCATTTTCTCTATAAAAACTATGTAAAATGTTTGCAGTACTGTAGAATTTGGAAATCTTTTACTTTGGATAATGTGATTTAGAAGGGCAAAAGCAAAAACATTTTGTTGGAGCAACTAAGATAAGGGCCATTTCCCTTGATCAAATGAATTAATTTTAGTGGAAATAGCCAGATGATTTGGTCCAAGGATTGGCTTTTAGGCTTATGAGCCTAGTTAAGTGCTTCAGTTCTTTGGTTGCTGCTCCAAGCTTTGCAAAGGCCCCTAGAAGAGATGGTGGAAGTGAAAATTCTGGGTCTTCAAGAAAAATTTTGCACTGCCTGTCCCTCAGTCAGCCCAGTGCCTTTTGAAACACCTTCTTTGTATACCTGGGAACCTCCAATGCCTGCAATTTATTCAGAGCTCTCTTTCCACATTCACCATGTCAACCTGTCACAGGTCTGGCAGCAGTGAATAATACCTTCCTATGAGACAGAATTTTTCTTGGGGATTATCATGCTCTGGATGGTTAGTTCATCACTGTTTGACTGCTTGCCCCAACGCCACTGTGACTCTCTCCAGTTGCTCAGAAGTGTACTAGATATCATACATATCTTGTTTTATAAGCACTGGAGACCCTGTTGAAATTCAAAATTCTGTTTTGTTGTTGTTGTTAATCCTCACCCAAGGATATTTTTTCCATTGATTTTTTTTTTTTTTTTAGAGAGAATGGAAATGAGGGGGAGAGACAGAGAGAGAGAAACATTGATGTGAGAGACATAGATTTGTTGCCTCCTGCACTTGCACCCTGACCGAGGCCAGGTTTGAGACCACAACTGAAGCATGTACCCTTGAATAGAATTGAACCCAGGACACTTCAGTCCGCAGGATGACTGAGCCAAGCCAGCCAGAAATTCAAAATTTTGTAGATGCCCAAAATTTTGTAGATGCCAAAAAATTTACTTTTAGTCAAGAAACGTTTTCCTTCCTTCCT